GCCATGGCACTCTGCCCAGGGGGACAGCTTGAGGCTCTGTCTCAAAAAAAAAAAAAAAAAAAAGAAAAATAGCACAAAGTATATTCCAGAGCAAAAAGAGATTGTTGGGAGTTGAGGCTCCAGAGTAGAAAAGGATTATATTGAAGAAGAACTTAAATGGCATGTTAGAGCATTTGGATTTTATCTTATAGTTAGTACAAATCCTGGGTGTAGGAATCATTAGTTTAAGGAAAGGGAAGTAACATCAAATTTGTATATGAAAATTGCTCCTAGGGCAATATGGGACAGATGATGAGGATATCAACTGGGATCTGTCAGGAGCTAAGGGAAAATAAAGGAACATACTCAAGAGCTATTTAGCAGGTGAATCAATTGGATTTAGGAAGTAAGGAGGCCAGATAAGTAATAAATGAGTATGTCATTAAGATAGGAAAGAGAAAGAACAGGTCAGGTATTAAATAGGGTAGGAAAAGGAAAAATAGATTTGGCTTTTAGACATGTTGGACTTAATGTACATATGATACATCTAGTTAGCAGGCAGTTAGGATTTACTCATTCAGCAAATATTTATTATAAGTACAAAAACTAATGATGTGCCCCCCTTCAGGGAGTTCAGTCTAGCAGGTAACCTAAAACAATTAAATAGACAATCACAGTGTAACATGAAATGTGTTTTGAGAATGGCTGTGGAGGCTCAGGCCTATAATCCTAGCACTTGAGAGGCCAAGGTGGGTGGATTGCCTGAGCTCACAGGTTCAAGATCAGCCTGAGCCAGAGTGAGACCTCATCTCTAAAAATAGCCGGCGTTGTGGTGGGTGCCTATAGTCCCAGCTACTTGGGAGGCTGAGGCAAGAGAATCTCTTGAGCCCAAGAGTTTGCGGTTGCTGTGAGCTATGATGCCGTGGCACTCTATTGAGGGCAACAAAGTGAGACTGTCTCCAAAAAAAAAAAAAGGCGAAAAGTGTTTTGATAGGCAACCACAGGGTTTTTCTGAAACTTGGGTAGAGGTAGGGGAGGAGAGCTGTTCAGAGAAGGAAACTGACCCAAATCTGAATAGTAAGTAGCTAGAATGAAGAAGAAAGCAGGCCACAGATTGATACTCTCTCCCTCCTCCTTCTTTCCACCCTCTCTGTCTCCTCTCTCCCCTCCTGCTCCTCTCCCCCTCCTTCTCTCCTCTCTCCCTTCCCTCTCAAAAAATAAAAAATAAAAGAAAGCAAAGGGAAAATAGCAGAGACCAGGAACAGCATGTGTGAAAACACAGAGGCATAAAAGAGTTATAGAAAACACAAGTAGCTCATTGTGACTGGAGCTTTTTTGATTGATCCATGTAAAAAAAATCTAAGATCCAGTTTCAGTGCCTGTAGCCCAGCAGCTAGGGTCCCAGTCACATACACCAGAGCTGGCAGGTTCATATCCAGTCTGGGCCAACTGCAGCCAAAAAATAGCCAGGCGTTGTGGCAGGCACCTATAGTCCCAGCTACATGGGAGGCTGAGGCAAGAGAATTATTTAAGCCCAGGAATTTGAGGTTGCTGTAAGCGGTGATGCCATAGCATTCCACCAAGGGCACCATAGTGAGAGTCTCAAAAAAAAAAAAATCTGTGATCCACGTGATAGAAACAATTTAAGGAGGTAGGTTAGGACTAATTACAAAGGGCCTGAAAGTTTGGGGCAGGCAGTAAATGCAGTAGTATGATCAGATTTATTTTTATTATTATTTTGTTTTAGAGACAGTCTCACTTTATCCCCCTTGGTAGAATGCCGTAGTGTCACAGCTCACAGCAACCTCCAGCTCTTAGACTTAGGTGATTCTCTTGCCTCAGCCTCCCGAGTAGCTGGGACTATAG